TTCAACGTAATTATTGATAGACATGTATTTATTGCCATTTTATTACTTGTTTTTAGTTGTTTCTGAAGATTTTCTCCGATCCTTTCCTCTATTTCTTTCATGTTTTGTGGATTTTGGTTAGTTATATATTTGGATTCCTTTCTCTTTATTCTTTGCATATTTATTAGTGGATTTTAATATACGGTTACCATGAAGTTTGTATACAACCTCTTTCGCATATAACAGTCTATATTAAGCCAATGGTCATTTAAGTTTGAACCTTTTATTTTCTCCTTTCCTCCCCACATTTTAGGTATATGTTATTGTTGGTGCCTTGACTGATTTTTTTACAAAAATATTCATTTTTACTGCTTTTATGTTTCCTACCTTTATATTGCCACATTGGGCCTCTCTGTTCCATTCAAAAAGTCCTCTTTACTGTTTCCTGTAGGGCTAGTTTAGTGGTCACGAACTCCTTTAGTCTTTGCCTGGGAAACTCTTTATCTCTCCTTCTATTGTAAACTATAGCCTTCCTGGGTAGAGTATTCTTGGCTGCAGATTTTTCCCATTCAGCATTTTGCATGTATCACGGTACTCCCTTCAGACTTGCTAAGTTTCTGTTGAAAAATCTCCAGCTAGCCTTATGGGTTTTCTCTTGTTAGTTAAGGGCTTCCTTTGTCTTTCTGCTTTTAAAACTTATTATCATTCTATTTTGTAAATTTAATTATAATAAGCCTTGGTGCCTGCTTCTGTTGATTTTGATGGGAGTTCTCTGTGCCTGCTGAATCTGGATGTCTCCAGATTAGGGAAGTTTCCTTCCCCCGATTAGGGAAGTTTACAGGTACTGTTTCTTCAAATAAACTCTCTGCCTCATCTTTCTCTCTCTCTTCTTCTGGGACTCCTAAAACATGAATGTTATTATGTTTCGTGGAGTCACTGAGTTTTCCAAGTCTGTACTTAGTTTGTGTAATTCTTTTTCTCTCTTCCATTTAGCTTGATTACTTTCCATTACTGTGTCTTCTAGGTCATTAACTTGTTTTTCTGCTTCTTCCATCCTGCTATTCATTCCATCAGGCATGTTTCTCATTGCATTTATTAAGTCCTTAATCCCTGCTATGATATTCCTTATCTCTGTGTTAAGGGTCTCACTCACGTCTTCCCCTCTTTTCTCAAGTCCTCCCCCATGCATGCTCTTTCTCTCACAAAAATAAATAAATAAATAAATAGAAAGAAAACCAAAGGTGGAGGCATCACAATCCTAGACTTTAGCCTGTACTACAAAGCTATAATCATCAAGACAGTGTGGTATTGGCACAAAACAGACACATAGACCAATGGAATAGGATAGAGACTCCAGAATTGGACCCACAAATGTTTGGCCAACTAATCTTTGACAGAGCAGGAAAGAGTATCCAACGGAAAAGATAGTTCTTTAGCAAATGGTGCTGGGAGAACCGGACAGCAACATGCAGAAGAATGAAACTGGACCACTTTTTTACACCACACACAAAAATAAATTGAAAATGGATGAGACCTAAATGTGAGACGGGAAACCACTCAGATGCAGCAACTTCTTACTCAACATGCCTCCAAAGGCAAGGAAAAAAAGACAAAAATAACTATTTGGACTTCATCAAGCTAGAAAGCTTCTGCACAGCAAAGGAAACACTCAACAAAACTAAAAGGCAACTGACGGAATGGGGGAAGATATTTACAAATGACATATCAGATAAAGGGTTAGTATCTAAAATCTATTAAGAACTTACCAAACTCAACACCTGAAAAACAAATAATCCAGTGAAGAAATGGGCAGAAGACATGAACAGACATTTTTCTAAAGAAGATATCCAGATGGCTAACAGACACGTGAAAAGATGCTCAACATCACTCATTGTCAGGGGAATACAAATCAAAACCACAATGAGATACCACCTCACACCTGTCAGAATGGCTAAAATTAAAAATTCAGGAAACAGATGTTGGCAAGGATGTGGAGAAAGGGAAACCCTCTTGCACTGTTGGTGGGAATGCAAACTGATGCAGCCACTCTGGAAACCAGGGTGGAGTTTCCTCAAAAAATTAAAAATAGAATTGCTCTACAACCCAGCAATAACACTAGTAGGAATTTATCTAAAGGATACAAGAGTGCTGATTCATAGGAACACATGTATCCCTGTTTATAGCAGGGCTATCAACAATAGCCAAATCATGGAAAGAGCCCAGATGTCTATCAACAGATGAATGGGTAAAGAAGTGGTTATAGGGCGCCTGGGTGGCGCAGTCGGTTAAGCGTCCGACTTCAGCCAGGTCACGATCTCGCGGTCCGTGAGTTCGAGCCCCGCGTCGGGCTCTGGGCTGATGGCTCAGAGCCTGGAGCCTGTTTCCGATTCTGTGTCTCCCTCTCTCTCTGCCCCTCGCCCGTTCATGCTCTGTCTCTCTCTGTCCCAAAAATAAATAAACGTTGAAAAAAAAATTTAATTAAAAAAAAAAAAAGAAGTGGTTATATATATACATATAATATATATATATGATATATTATATATGTGTATATATATATCATATATAATCTATATGATATATATCATATAGATTATATATATGTGTATATATATGTGTAATATATATAATATATATATACATACACACACACACACAATGGAGTACTTCTCATCAATGAAAAAGGATGAAATCTTGCCATTTGCAACAACGTGGATGGAACTGGAGGGTATTATGCTAAGTGCAATAAGTCAGTCAGAGAAAGACAGATATCATATGTTTTCACTCATATGTGGAATTGAGAAACTTAACAGAAGTCCATGGGGGAAGGGAAGGGGAAAAAAAGTTACTAACAGGGAAACGAACCATAAGAGACTCTTACATACAGAGAACAAACTGAGGGTTGATGGAGGAGAGAGGGGTAAATGGGTGATGGGCATGGAGGAGGGCACTTGTTGGGATGAGCACTGGGTGTTGTACGTAAGTGACGAATCACGGGAATCTACTCCCGAAGCCAAGAGCACACTGTATACACTGTATGTTAGCTAACTTGACAATATTATATTAAAAAAATATTCACAATTGTTCTTTTCATTGAAGATTATGTTATAATTATATAGTGTTCTTCTTTTTCTCTTCTTACAGTCTTTGTTTTAAAACCTGTTTTGTCTAATGTAAGTAGTGCTCCTCCGGTAAATATCCTTATGATCAGTGCTTTAAATTCTCTATCAGGCATCTTCCTTATATTTGTTTCACTTAGATCTCAGGTTGTGCCCTTGTCCTGTTCATCCATTTGGGATAAACTTCTCTGTTTCCTCATTTTGTCTGCCTCTCCGTGCCTATTTCTCTGTTAAAAAAAAAAAAAAAAAAGTCAGCTGTGTCTTCTCTTTCGAAAGTAGTGACTTTATGAAGAAGAGGTCCTCGAGTGCCCTGCAGTGCAGCGTCCCCTGTTCACCAGAACCTGGCACTTCAGGAGAGTGTCCCGTGTGTGTTGTTTATGCCCTGCTGCTGCGTCTGAGTCACTTTTCCTTTCCGTGCAGTCGTCCGCACAGACTCTCTGCCAGTTGCTGGTTTTGTCTGCTTTGTGTGGTATTAGCGGGACCCAGGCAGGCCAGCTCCGAGGGTGCCTGTCTGCAGGGACCTTGAGAACGGGGCACTGGTGGGAGCAAAATCCACGTTGGGCCACTAGTCCTAGGCCAGATCTTCTGCAGCGCTGTGGTGGCTGGGGGCTGTTTGTCGAGCACACAGCTGGGCCCGGGGCAGGGAGGCAGCTGTGCACCCAGCGTCTGGGCAGGGGGTGCCGCCAGGCACGCAGCAGTGGCCGGGTGGGGCACGGGCACAGCTTTCGCCAAATTTGCCCTGAGGCCTGTGCTGAGGTACACTGTGTGTGTGCAACCCTGCCCCCTTCAGGTGGCCCCATGTTTATGCCGGGAAGCGGCATAAACACACTCCCAAACCATTACCAACAGACCTGTCTCCTCTTTGCCTCCCAGCCTTGTGTAAACGGCTGTGTGTACGTTGCCTCTCCACACAGGCTGTGTCTCTTTAAGGGCAGCCACTTGGCCATCCCTGGTGCCTGGGTGGCCCAGTGCTGAGTCAGCTGACTCTTAAAGCTCCAGGCTCCAAGTCCCACTGGTTTTACAAACTCAAGTCTGCCTGCCCTTTGGCTCTTATAGTCAAACCGTATGGGGATTAGTTTTCCCCGTGTGAGCTCCCTGGTGCAAGGGCCCGTTTCTCTGCCCTCTCCATGCAGGTGGCTCCCTCCCTCCCGCAGCCAGCCCCTCTCCACCTTTCTGCCCTTCCCAACCTTTCAGATGCAGCTTCCTCTCTACATGTAGTTGCGGAGTCTGCCCTTCCAGTCTTCAGGTCGCTCTGCAGGTCACTAACTTGGATGCGGATGATGTCTAGCTGTCAACGTGGGACAGGGTGAGCTCAGGGCCCTTCTACTCCGCCATCTTCCCAGGCTCCCCGCTGACATGGGTAGTTTGTGTTTAGCTTATACATGAAAGGCCGAATCAATGGGACTGTAATGTGGATATTTACATATTACAAACATCTCCCTAAACCACCCTTCTGGGAAAAGAGTAATGAGATCTAGAAAATGAGGAGAGTTCTTGGCAGGATTTCACACTTTTAAAAATTGAAAACTGTACTACAGCTCGAGGGTTAGGTCACTTTATGGTATGCGGAAGTTTTCTTAGTCTCTTTTACTACATATATTACTGTATGGTAACAGAACAGTCAAGACACTCCATCGATCAACTCAAGTTTACAGTGTTAAAGAGTCACCACCAAGGTAAGGAGTAGGACCGGGAAAACAGTGAGATGCAGACAGAGCGTCAAAGAGCCAGGGAGGCAAGTGGGGTCAAGGAAGCAAGACAGCGAAAATCTAAGGTGTGATCAGGTATCACATGCATTGTATGTTACACTCTTCACACAGGGTAGTATATGGACGGTTTACGTGGACAGGGTATTAGATGTCAGGACCATAAGGAGGAGGAGCGCTGAGTGAAGGCTCATTAAGAATGCCCCTGATGACTGGAGAGAAGTTTCAGCAACGCGGTGTGGGTAGAATCCAGATGTTACAGGAAGGTGAGTTGAAAGCAGGTGGGAAGACGAGAGGGGATACCTTTGAGGGGAGAGGAAAGGGCTGGTAGCCAGAAGGATAAAAGGAGGCTTATGTGTCCAGGAAGAGCCCTACAAGACGGCAGGGATTGGGAGAGGAGTCCTTGCCGGGAGAGAGGCCACCTCAGCCAGGGCTTTCTGACCGGGGAGGAACTTTCTGTGAAGCACAACACGTGGTTTTCATCACGGTGGAAGAGAAGGAATAAATATTTATCCAAAGCCAAATGTGCTCTATGCGCTCTCTCAACTCCTCACTGTGGTCACTGTTACCCTGATTTATTACATATTAGGAGCCCGAGGCTCCGAGAAGCTGTGACTTACCCGAGGGTGGTTAGCAGGTGTCATAGCCAGGATCTGAATGCAGATGTTTTTGTTTCTAAACTTATGGTCCTCGCTGCCTCCAATAATCTGAAAAGACAAGTCTTTCAAATATAGTCCTTTGAAATCTAAGAATGTAAGGCACTGCCTGTGAGCTTTGATATGCAAAATAGATAGCTTCTTCTTTAAGCCGGACTTCTTAGATCTGAGTCTATGGGATTTGCTGCGTAAAACAAATGAAAAATGTTTTCAAGAGTAGCCAACGTATATTTTTTCTCTCTTTAAACTGGTCTATCTCTTTGATGTTAGGCACAATTCAGGCACAGCCAGGGTTTTATATTTTTAATTATGAACAATAACTCAGGAGGTCTCTAATCTTGCTTTCCAAGTCCAACTCCAGGCTAATACTGGCCTGTTGAGAAAACCAACATCCTGGCAAATAAGAGCCAAAAAAAAAAAAAAAAAAAAGGAACTAATTTCTACCTTTGCATGAGTGAGGTTTAGCGACTTAGGGGTACCTTTGTTCACCCAGAAAACTGTTCCCGATCATGTGCTATGTGCCAGGCACTGTGCAGTCACAGTCCTGGACCTCAAGAGGTCTTTAGAGGGAGACAGACTTCTATGCACATGACTGGGGCATGTGCTGGTTTGATGTTGGAAACGTGTACACATAACAAGGATGAAAGGATTGAAAAGCAGTACCAGGGCATCTGGGTGGCTCAGTCCGTTAAGCATCTGACTCTTGATTTCGGCTCAGGTCATGATCTCATGGTTAGTGAACTGGAGCCCTACGTCGGGCTCCGTGCTGATGGTGTGGAGCCTGCTCTGGAGGCTCTCCCTCTTTCTCCACCTCTTCCCTGCTCAGGAGGATGCATGTTCTCTCTCAAAATAAATAAACTTAAAAAAAATAAGCAAACCCAAAAAGCATTTAAACTCTGGACCCTCTACCCAATATGGCTGGTTGGTTTGCTTCTGTAAGATAGCCTAGTAAGTAGTTTTTCTCTTTTTTTTTTTTTATCTTAGAAGTGGGTGACTTGTGTAGAAAACTACCTAACTGCATCACAGAGCTGAACGTCTGTCTATCTCAGGTGCCTAGAAACAGAACCTGAGAGGGAGCTGGCATGTTCACTGCTCCTGCTTTGTTGAGGGAGTGCTCTCGGGAGAGACCTGTGGTGGGTGAGGGATTCTGACTAGGGCAGGGAAGGGCAAGCAAGGAAAGGATCTCAGGTCCAGCGGAGACCTGGCCTGATCTGAGAAGTTGAGGCCTCCGGGCGTAAATCCAACCACAGAGTTGTAGCCATTGAAGGTGAAGGGGCTGGCCTTTTGTACCCCATTGTCAATTGGTCATCCATTGCCTACTCAACTGAGGGCAACTCTCTGGAGAAGGGTGTAGCTGCAACTAAATGGAAGCACCCAACCTTCATCAAAAGTCCAGGGATAAGTGCACCTACCAGCCTGGCAGAGGGACTTGAAAAGGGGACTTGGAAAAGACATCGGCAACATCTACTCCAAGGGCGGTGACATAGAGAAGAGGTAACAACCAACCCAGAGACCAGCCTGCCATAGTAATGGGCTCCCCCCGCCAGCATTTTGAAGAGGGTCCACATAAGCAAATGAATTCTCCGCAGGTTACACCATTGCACAGATTTAATTGTTACCAAATTAGGACCAAGATAGCTAGAGTAGCACCATGTTGATGAGGACAAACTCAAGGCCCAAACTTTATACAGTGTTAGGGAGAGAGATTTCTTGCCTGCCAGGTGACTCAAACTTTCCTCCTCAAAGTTCCCCACATTGGCATTCCAGCCTCAGTTGGGATGCTTGGTTTTCCTTTGGCTTTGATCACAGGGTGTGGCAAAACCAAGGCACTGCAGGGGAGCTCCTGCGTTGCAGACACACACACATCACTGCTCCTACTGTGTGGTAACAACCCAGTTTTCCCTTGAAAATCAGGATTAATCACCCCCTTCGGGACGGTCTATTGATTCTCTGGGAGGAGGAGCCCAAAGCAGCCAGGTGGCAGTCTCAACTTCCAGTTTGGGGAAACCAATGTTATGTCTCTTGGTGGAACATTCTTCTCTTGGGAGCTAAGACTTGAGAACAGAACCTACAGTTGTGAGGGCAGGAAGCAAACGTTCTGCGAGGGTATCACTAGGATAATTAGGTGAAGAAAAATGACCATTTCCACCCTTGATTTTCTGGTCCATGAATCCAGTCACTGATTTAGAACACACACTACACCCTGGGGGACACCCCAGGCTCATCCAGCTGGTGCTGGAAGTAAACCTTCACAAGGCATTCTACCGCAATGCCTTGCTTCATTTGCTGTAAATTGAGTTCCTCCATCAGAAGCAGTGTTTTTACCATAAACAAAGACAAAGGCATCTTGTAAGTCTATGAATGTCAGCTTGGTGGAAGAATTAAGGGTACGAAAGGCAAATCCAGATCCAGAATATGCTTCTGTTCCACTGTGAACAAAGTACTACCCCTCTGATGATGGCAGTGGTCCAATGTAATCAATCTACCGCTATTGTCTGGCTGATATTCTTGGGGAATGGTGCCATATCAGTGTTGGTCTCTGCTGTTGACAGGGTGCTGACACACCAGGTCAGCAGTGGCTATAACCAGGTCATTTTAATGAGTAGTACTCTGTGTTGCTGGGCCCATTAATAACTTCTGTTTCCGGTGCATAACTTTGTGAGCCTAGTGGTCAGGGACAGTGGTGGCTGAACGAAGATCAATGTACACAGGTTGTGTCATTAAGATCCTCTTCTAGACAAAAGAAAGCCTGAATAGCCATACTTATATCAGACAATCTAGAGTTTACCATAAAGACTGTAATAAGAGATGAAGAAGGGCATTATATTGTAACTAAGGGGTCTATCCCTTAATCATAATTAAGGGGTCTATCCACCCATAAGACCTAACAATTGTAAACATTTATGTGCCAAATGTGAAAGCACTCAAATATATAAATCAATTAATCACAAACAAAAAGAAACTCATTGATAATAATACCATGACAGTAGGAGACTTCAACACCCCACTTACAGCAATAGACAGATCATCTAAACAGAAAATCAACAAGGAAACAATGGCTTTGAATGACACACTGGACCAGATGGACTTAACAGATACATTCAGAACATTTCATCCTAAAGCAGCAAAACATACATTCTTCTCCAATGCACATGGAACGCTGTCCAGATTAGATCACATACTCGGACACAAATCAGCTGTCATCAAGTACAAAAAGATAGAGATCATACCGTGCCTATTTTCAGACCATAATGTTATGACACTCAAAATCAACCACAAGAAAAAATTTGGAAAGATAACAAATAGTTGGAGACTAAAGAACATCCTACTAAAGAATGAATGGGCTAACCAAGAAGTTAAAGAGGAAATTAAAAAGTACACGGAAGCCAACGAAAATGATAACACCATAGCCCAAAACCTTTGGGACACAGCAAAGGCAGTCCTAAGAGTGAAGTATGTAGCAATCCAGGCCTACCTAAAAAAGGAAGAAAGGTCTCAGATACACAACCTAACCTTACACCTTAAAGAACTGGAAAAAGAACAGCAAATAAAACCCAAAACCAGCTGAAGTCAGGAAATAATAGAGATTAGAGCAGAAATCAATGCTATTGAAACCAAACAAAAAAAAAAATCACCCAAAAAACCGATCAATGAAACCAGGAGCTCGTTCTTTGAAAGAATTAACAATTGATAAACCACTAGCCAGTATGATCAAAAAGAAAAAGGAGAGGACCCAAATAAATAAAATCAAGAATGAAATAGAAGAGATCACAACCACAACAGCAGAAATACAAACAATAATAAAAGAATATTATGAGAAATTATACGCTAATAAAATGGGCAATCTGGAAGAAATGGACAAATTCCTAGAAACATATAAACTACCAAAACTGAAACAGGAAGAAATAGAAAATTTGAACAGACCCATAACTAGTAAAGAAATGGAATTAGTAATCAAAAATCTGCCAAAAAACAAGAGTCTAGGGCCAGATGGCTTTCCAGGGGAATTCTATCAAACATTTAAGGAAGAGTTAACACCTATTCTCTTGAAGCTGTTCCAAAAAATAGAAACAGAAGGAAAACTTCCAAACTCTTTTTATGAAGCCAACATTACCTTCATTCCAAAACAAGATGAAGACCTCACTAAAAAGGAGAACTATAGGCCAATTTTCCTGATGAATATGGATGCAAAAATCCTCAACAAAATATTAGACAACTGGATCCAACAATACATTAAAAGAATTATTCAAAAATTATCCCACAAGCAAGTGGGATTTATACCTGGATGCAGGGCTGGTTCAGTGTCCACAAAACAAGCAATGTGATTCATCACATCAATAAAAAAAAGGACAAGAACCACATGATCCTCTCAACAGATGCACAGAAAGCATTTGACAAAATATAGCATCGTTTCTTGATAAAAACCCTCAAGAAAGAAGGGATAGAAGGATCATACCTCAAGATCATAAAAGCCATATATCAAAGACCCACTGCTAATATCATCCTCAATGGAGAAAAACTGAGAGCTTTCCCCCTAAGGTCAGGAACAAGATACGGATGTCCACTCTCACCACTGTTATTCAACATAGTATTGGAAGTCTTGGCCTCTG